TGAGCCCCACAGCCCCATTCTTGGAGCTGCCTGCTGCAGTCCCAGCAGCCCTGCAGGAGTGCCTGGCATTTGGTGCCTGCAGGCTGCCACTGCCTCCAGCAGCAGCCCAAGGAAGGGCCATGGTGGGAGGRGAGGTGYCCTGAGGCAAGGGGCTGCTGAGTGCACCTGAGCATGGAGCGGGGAGGACAAATGAGAGGGTGCTGAGGCACAGAAGGGAAAGGCTCAGGAATCAGAGCTTGTGTTTTCTGCTCCTCATGGCCTGACTTGATCATTGCAGAGTTTGTCACCCTGGACAGTGACACAGCGCATCCCAGATTGGAAGTCTCTGCAGATGGGAGTAGAGTAAAAGATACTGGTGTCATCAGATTCTTGCTCAGCAATGAGAAGAGATTTGATTCCCATCTGTTTGTGTTGGCAGAGAAAGGATACACAACTGGGAAACACTATTGGGAAGTAAATGTTGGGACAAGAACMAACTGGGCTGTGGGTATTGCCCTGGAATCTGTGACTCGCAAAGGGACATTGACTCTGACCCCTCAGAATGGCTTCTGGATTATCATGTGTGCAGATGGGCAAGATTATTGGGCCTACACCAATCCTTGGACCTGTCTGACTGTGACCGGCTCTTTGTCAAAGATCGGGATCTTCTTGGACATCCCAGCCAAGCAGGTGTCTTTTTACAATGTTTCTAAGAGAGCAGCTTTGTACACTTTTAGCATTGCCAATGGCAGCAGCCAGGAAGGGAAATTCATTCCCTTGTTCTCCACAGGCCTTGCTGTTGCTGAGCCTGACACTGAGGCTCTGGAAATAGTGCAGTTTTCTGATGATTATGATGATGATGAGTAATTTACTCTGCATTTCAAAGGTCAATATTGTGATTGAATCACCTTTCAATTAGGCTGCCGCCTAATTTTTGTCTTYTGAATGAAAGCATTGAAGAAGATGGCAAATCTATCATAGTGGTCAGCTTTTTACATTATGCATCCGAATGAAGAGTTTTTTGAGGGAAATCTTCTGTTGTCRAGGGAAATAAATTTTCTTTCATGGTAGTATGAAAAAAGCATTTCTCACAAATTGTGAGTTTTCCTGAAAAAGTATTCTTCTTTTCTTCATAATCATTGATATGTCGTTTTGTTGAGGGGGGATACTGATAAACATCCTGTTGGGCACCTACAGCCAGCCAAGGTCACCCCACCACACATCTGCACATGGTTTTGGAATGTCTCCAAGGACAGAGATTCCACAGCCTCTCTGGGGAACTCATACCTGGGCTTGGTCACCTKCAAAGTAATGAAATGTTTCCTGACATTCAGAGGGAAGCTACTGTGTTTCAGTGTTTCCCATTGCCTCCTATCCTGTCACTGGCACCTCTAGGAAGAGCCTCCTTCAGGTGTTGAAACACCTTGCTGAGATCCCCCCAAGCCTTCTTCTCTCCAGGCTGAACAGTCCCTGGTCTCTCCGYCTTTCCTCCTGAAATGCTCCAATCTCTTAATCATCTCTGTGGGCCTTGCCTGGACTGTCTCCAGTAGTTCCATGTCTCTTTTGTACTGGGGAGCTGTCTTGGTTTGAAAGACAGGTGYTTGCCAATGAAGGGAGGGATCCCCCTTGGAGTGGTGGATATGACCCCCCCCCCTTCCCTCTGAATTATTACAGCTTTGAAAATCACAGGCTTTCAGACAAGAATATGGGTAAAAGGGAATAACAGTTTTTACTAATATGTATAACAAGGTAAAACAAGTAACAATAACAATAGCAACAACCAGCCCAGTCCCAAAACCCAGTGACAGCCTTACAGAGACACAGCCTCCCCTTTGGTGCAGTTCCAGTCCCAGCCGGCAGGGGCGCTGTTGCCTCCCAGCTGGGCAGGGAGGGTGCGATGATTCCCCGGCAGCTGCAGGGGGCGCTGTGGCGCGGGTCCCGGCTGGTTCAGATCTCCCGCATCGCCAATGGTGGACACAGAACAGCAGGGATGGATGGAGAGAAGTTCCTCTGCAAACTCACAGCGGAAACGCCGATCTCGGTGCTCCTCTGGACAGCAAGAAACCCCAGGATGGCAAAAAGACGAGCAGAATCCCGCGGCTGCGAGATGGGATGGAGCAGAGCTCACCCCTGAAGCTGGAATCTCAGGGGATCCCCGGCAAGGCAAAGGGGAGAAGATCACAGTGCAGCAAAAAGGAACCAACGAGCAGAGATGCTGGGCTCTGCAGAAAAAGGGCAGGCMAGCTCTCCCCCGAGCAGCTAGTGGGTAGACCTTCTCTCAGCRAAGCAGCGAAGGAAGTGAAGTTACCCCCCACCACACACACTCATACCGCCTCCCAGTACTTAGCAAGATCGTTTAGCTGGGGCATAGGTCTTATTGTCTTCACTAATCGTCCAGSCATCAAAAGGATAACCTGGCAATCAGAGTATCCCAGCAACAAAATGGGAAAGGAAAATTTCCACAAGAAAGGAAATAAAAAGAGAAATCTTAACCCACAACAGTAACAAAGCTAATGGTAACACCTGTGGCCMTTTCAATAAAGTTTCCTGACATATTTTGATAATTTGTCTCTTTAAAATGTTATTCATTTGCTCAATCCTTCTGCTAGATTGCAGTCTAGATGGAATATGTTAATCACGGTTTATACCCAACTGCTTACTAATTTGCTGTAACACTTCAGATATAAAATTGGGTCCCCTATCAGATGGCATCCCTAAAGGCACCCCAAACCTGGGTATGATCTTTTTGAGAAGTTTCTTGCTTACTTTCTTAGTCTTGGTGCAGCAGGGGAAAGTTTCTGGGCCCTTGGAAAAGGTCTCCACTAATACTAGCAATGCCTGTATCTTTGTTGTCATGGTTGCTCAGGAAAATCAATTTGCCAGTAATCACTGGGAGTGTTTCCTCTTTGAGTGATATCGGAAGGCCGTCTTTTTAAATTCAAAGGATTACTTTTAAGATATATCAGACATTTTTCTGTAACAGGCTTGATGGTTTTTGTCATACAAATACTGAGTATTTGAGCCTGTAGATTAGTCACAGTAGCATTGAAATCCCAGTGGGTTTGCTGGTGTWGGGATTTACTAGCCATCACCTTCTTTTTTCTGGACTTTTAGATAAATAGCTAATTTTAAGTCTGCTTGAYTATATCCAGGGCTAACTTCTTGGAGTGAGATAGTTTTCTCAGGTATTAATGCCAGGATGTGTTATTGTACAACCTCTTGTGCAGCTTTAGCAGTAAATCTGTTTCCTACATGAATCTGGGAATCCCCTTGTTAATGTGCTTTGCAGAGTATTACGGCCACTTTTCTGGGAAGTTGAATAGCATCAAGGAGGGACAATATTTCTTGTTTATTTTTAATCAGARATCCCCATGCTGTTAATAGAGATCTTTCTATGCATATAACTCCAGGGGCATGAATAATGCTAAAAGCATATTTCGAGTCAGTCCATTTGTTTGCTCTTTTTCCTGCTGACCCTTACAGGGCTTTTCATAGTGCTATGAGCTGTGCCTTTTGTGCTGAAGTGTCCACAGGCAATGGTGCAGCTTCTATTACCTTGGTTGGCACGACTACTGCATAGCCGGCTCTTTGCTTTCCATCTTGCATCAAACTACTTTCATGCATAAAATCTCTATATCTGGATCTTCGGTTGGTGTGTCTTGCAGGTCTGGACAGCTTGCATAAACTTTCTCAATTGCCTAAGCARTAATGGGTTAGCTGCTCTTCCCTTTCCACTGAGGTGCTTGGGAATTGGGCTGGATTTACCATTGTGGTCAATTTCAACTCGGCATCTTCTCGCTCCAATAGAACAGTCTGATATTTCAGTGTATGGCTTGGGGAAAGCCAGTGCCCCGCTTTTTGGCCTAATACAGTCATTGTAATGTGAGAAGTATATTATCTTTTGTCCCAAAATCAATTTCCTGGCCTCTTGGATGAGGAGAACATTTGCTTCTACAGCTCACAGGCATCTGGGCTAGCCCTGACTGACTTTGTCTAATTGTTTTGAAAAGCACTCCACAGGCTTCTTGAAGTCTTTCCTACTTTCTGAGCCAGAACTCCAAGGGCAAGATGCTATCATTCATGCACAAAAAACTGAAAGGGCTYTGCTAAGCCTGGAAGCCCCACAGTAGGTGCAGATGTCAGGGCCTTCTTTAAGTTACAGAATGTGTGTTCGCTCTCATGAGTCCAAATGAAACGTTCTTGTGTGGTCTTATTTAAAAGTTCATACGATAGTTTAATTAAAAATCCGTAATTAGAGACCCATAATCTGCACCATCCAGCCATACCCAAGAATGCTCTTAAATCTCAGGCAATCTGTCTCGGCTTGAAAGACAAGTGTTTGCCAATGAAGGCAGGGACCTCCCTTGGAGTGGTGGATATGACCCCYGTTCCCTCCGAATTATTGTAATTTTGAAATCATGGGGCTTTCAGGSAGATACATGGAAAAAAGGGTATAACCGTTTTTACTAATATGTATAACAAGGTAAAGCAAGTAACAATGATAGCAACAGCCAACCCTACCACAAACCCAATGACAACTTCTCTGGGCTATCMCACACACCCCTCATCTTTGGTGCAGTTGCAGTCCCAGCCGGCAGGGGCGCTGTTGGCTCCCGGCCGGGCAGAGCGGGTGCAATGATTCCCCCGCGGCTGCAGGGGGCGCTGTGGCGCGGGTCCCGGCTGGTTCCTGCTCTCTCACGTGGCCAATGGTGGGTGGATGGATGGAGAAAAGTTCCTCTGCAAACTCACAGGGGAAAACCGAYCCCAGTGCTCCCTCTGGATAGCAAGAAACTTCAGAACAGCCAGATGGGCAAAGAGACAAGCAGAACGCCAGGGCTGTAGACAAGGTATATCAGAATTCGACCACTGTAGCTGGAATCACAGTGGTCCTGGCAAGGCACGGTAGCAGAGGCCACAGTATAGCAAGAGGAAGCTGATGGCAGGATGCTGGGTTCTGCAGCAGCAGCAGGCGAGCTCTGCCCTGCAGGCAGCAGGTCCACCATCCTCGCCCAAGCCTGCCAAGCAGGGCAGGAAGTGAAGCTACCCCCTGCCCCACACACAGACACACAAAAA